AGCAGTTTGAAAAGTTCTGCCTTCCTTGCAGTAGCGGGGTAGGGGATTTGTCGTCTCCTTAATTCCGTGGTTATGCGCGGGATTGTCCAGGATCTAATTGATGCTGGACTAGCTAGCTCTCCTCCTTGTGTGGGAGTGACAGCTCTAGCCGGGGTGCTAGGCAGGGAGAAATCCTCTACCCCTTCCATACTATATACTATAAATACTATAAATAAAACAATAATTAGTATATAGAACCACCAAATTGTACTGGCAGGCTAGCTAGGCCGGATGGCGAAAGTATTATACTTGTTTGGTGACAGGTGAGGCCCTGCTAATTGCCAAGCGGCTTGAGAGGCTCTATCTATGCGTTGGCGCGAGGGGCTATTGAGGCCACTTGACGTAGTGGCAGGAGTTTTAGGCCTCTCGGTGACTGTACGACAGAAAACAGGGGAAGGGAGTGACAGGTGAGGCCCTCTATTTGCAACATGCGAGGCGGCTAGCTAACGTGTGGCCCGATGGGTGTTTGCCTCCGAAACGTTTGAGGCGGGGTGTTGGCCTCGCGGGACCACTAACTAATGGCGTCAGCCAAGATGGGGTAAATACCTATTGGGAATCCTGTGACCCTATTGCCAGTACTCTAAACTAGGGGGATGAAATGAAATGTATGGTAGAATACCATATGAGCAGGTGTACGTACCTGGTAGTATGATAAATCACAGGAATAAACCGTGTGGAGCAATTATATAAGCTTGACAGCCTAAAAATGGGTAAAAGAGAGTAGTATGATGAGTGTGGAGTGTAAAAGAACCAGACTTATAGTCTGTAGCAGCAATGTATAAAATTATGTTGATACCATGGGAATAGCTATGAGTGGCTCAGAAATGTTTGCATGCTTGAATAAGACATCTGAGGGAGGCCGTGGCCTATGTACAAACAATCTATGTGTTACGTGATAATGGTGTGTAAAGGAAAACATGAAACGTAGGTTATATACATATGTATATGACTGTGTAGGGGACGTATGATTGGTTGGATCAGTACGTGTGATTCAACCCGAGTATGCATGCAAAAGGATTTAAGCCTTATGTGTCATCGTCATGACAGAGAAATGAGGCCTGTAATGTAGGCTGAGTAAATTGAAATGAAATGGATAGTTATAAAACTCCTGGCGTGGGAGTTCAATGATCTGTACCGAAATGTAACTGGTTTTATAGAAAGGGACATGGATGAGGTCATGGCCTAATTAACACAGCGTTATGTATGATATGTAGCAGAATAACCAAAGGCAGGGATACCCCAAAATGATTTAAAATGATGTAAAGTGATGTATATCTATATGATATGTTTGTATAGAAAAGACGTATCAACCCGAGAATTATTGCTTAAATGAACCTATATCCTTTGTATGTGTTGTATTAATAACCCAGAAGTGAGGCTTGTAACATAGACTGAGTCCATTTGTATAAATGGATAAGTAATGCAGACCCCTGAAGCGTGGGAGTCAAATGGTATACACAGAGAAGTGGACTTGATTTGTGGACGTAATACAATACTGACAATATTTAAAAGTAATCAAAAATAATCTATTTAAGCAAGCAATTCTTTAACCGAACGTTATATACACATGAAATGGTGAATATAATTCATGAAAGGATTATACGTGAACACACAGAAAAGCCGAAAGCAAATGTGAGGGAACACAGAAGTTAGAATAGTTTAACCGTATGATTTATGCGAACCAAAAGCGTGTATGAGCGTATGTAAAATTTGCCGAACGGCAAAACAACCGAATAACATGAAATAGGATATGTGAAATGACTATTGAACGATTTAAATATGTTCAGCCGAATGACCGTACGAATGAAAAGCCCGCGAATGGCTTGAAACATTCGTGTCATAACCAGGGAAAAGCCGTAAAGCGAGGACCCGTGCTGTACCGTACGCCGTGGGAACCAGTCCTGGCGTGACAGGAAGGTCTGACTTACGGTTTAGGAGTCCCTGGGACGCGATCTACGACGGAGAAACGGAGTCAGAAGAAGCTGGACGGGCGGAAAGGCCTGAACAGGATTCCTGGACACAGCTTAACGTGGTGAAACCTCCTGGATACTGAAACCAAGATGGCGTCTGAGAGAACCCGGAAGTGGATCCTCATTCAACGCTGACCTTGAACGGTAAGGAGCCAGGCAAGGGGAGTGCCTTAAGTAGGCTAGGGGTAGCAAACCAGCACCTCCCACAAATGCAGGCAAATTGCCTTAATACATATATATATATATATATATATATACATATATATATATATATAAATAAAAGAAAAAGAAATCCTGATGAAAGTCTGGTATTAACAGACTGAAACGTTGATTTTTGGACTAAGCTATTAAAAGTTAAGTTTTATTTTTCTTATATAGTCCTGAGAGTGCTATCCTATTTGTCTTTCTATATATATATATATATATGTATATATGTGTGTATATTTATATATGTGTGTATATTTATATGTGTGTGTATATGTATATATGTGTGTATATATGTATATATGTGTGTATATATGTATATATATGTATATATGTGTGTGTATATATATATAT